CATCGCTTCTAGTAACAAGTGCCTTACTAGTAGTAACAAGGACGCTAGATGTACTTGTAGCATACACTCAAATGCAGCTACATAAATCTCAATGCAAGCTGCAAATATACTTGTAGTACTGTAGTATACATTAAAAAGTAGTTGTATAAGTCTCAAAAGTATTGATGCAGATCTGTAGCGCAAACACTTTCGAAGAACCCTTCGCACCGCTCCCGAGAAAGTAATCAATTCTTGAAATATGTTGGATTCAATATACACAAACATATACATATCATTACATATTTGTTTAACTTTATAACAAGGATTCTTTTTATCATGGAGTCAGGATTTCTATCTTTGCACAGTCGAGAACTTTGCCCATCTGTGCCACTGAAAAACCTGCTTGTCGGACTAAAGTCGCGATCCATCTTTCCATCGCGTGTTCTGCTTTGCCAGAGCTTCCGGTTCGATAACCTCGCGTCATCTTCTTCATAAGCAGTGGTACCGAGTCGTGGAACCATTTCTCGCTGAGGAAGGTTCCGGAGCCACGGATCCAAAAGAACGTGCCAGGAATCATGCTCCAGTTCTGCTTCGCCAGCTCAAAGAAAGGTGCGCCCTTCTTTTTCATCTGTCGCCATGTCCACCTCATTGACCCCAACTCAACAGAATGAAACAAGAGCCGTTTTCCCACGTCGCCTGGCCAACACTGGATGAATTGGCAAAAGGCCGCGGTGAACGTGGCATTGGCACCCACATAGACGAGGTCCTTCGGTCCAAGAATGCCCACCGGAGCCGACCGGTCCGCGGCTAAGGTCTGAATGGCTTCCCGTGCCACACAGGGCGAGCCGCACAAGTGTTCCGTCATGTGGCGTCTCCAATGGATGTGCGACTTGCTATGAATTTTCAGAACTGCAGAATAGTGTTCCACACTAGGAAGGCTCGTGTCCAGAAGCTGCTGAAACCATTGCCCGATATCAGCTCCCAAATTCTTCACTGCTCTCACCTCAACCCTACCAACGCCTTCCAACGCAGACAAATTGTTTTTGTAAAATCTCATGTCGATGTTCGGATTGTCGTCCACTGCGCTGACAAAAACATCCACTTCTCCTTCACTATCATGTTGTGCACTTGCTACATTGAAAATGCAACTGAACAGGTCTTCCCAAATGCTTGGGTCAGCGTTGCCCATTTGGGCATAGATCGCCACTCTGAGAGAAGCAACTTGACTCGGATGTCTCGGATCAACAGTCCGTACGCTTGACAGTATGGCCATGTACAGCAAAATCAAAGCGACAGCTGTGACGGCGGATAGTATCAAGAAGTGTTTCCAGCGAACATAGCCACGGAATAGGCCACATTGGCACATGAGCGACGCGCAAAACTCTTATGTGTTGCAGCGCACACTCTTCCCAACGTTATCGTTTTTCTGCGAACCTTATCGTTCCTGAGGGTTTGGACACACCTAACAACATGTACTAACACCTTATTGTTTTTTCTGTGAACCTTATCATCGTTCCTGAAGGTGTCCATCACTTTACTTACTTAGTCTTCACTGTAGTGATGCTGCCTTTATCGGAGGTTTTGGCAGTTGCTTACATCTGCACGGCAGCTACAGCTATGTTTGGGCCTCAAAGCAGCTCTGAACATGGATGATTGTAGATTAAATTGGAAAGGTTTGCCCTCCCTAGCTGCCAAAATTTGAGAACACTGTGCAGAGTTCCAAAAGTTCCAGTCCCCAGTATGCCGCAGAGTGTTTCCCTTTGCAGAAAGGCATAGATAAATTTCATGTGTGGAGGAAAAAGAGGTTGTGCCCATGATTAGCATCAGCTCTACTGGCCTGGCAATAGCTACCTGGCGTTTTTCGTCCGCCGGCACCCACAAAAAATGGTCACCCGTATGACGATCCGGACAAAGGCCGTACACGCCCCAAAAAATGGAACCAAAAAATGGCATCATGAAATTGATTGAATTTGCATATTGGAGTGTTAGCCAGGTTTGTCGCCACCCAGGTTTCCTGGCTTAATCGATAATCTAAAGATGTTTTGATGCGCTGAAGCTTCATTCTGAGAAGGACAGTGTGCAGTCTCAGTTGATTTCTTAAAAATAAAAAAACATATAAAAACAGCAGCTTCCAAAGGTTTACGCGCTTGTTGTTTTTAGATCACTATGCTGATGCCCAAGCAATGAATGTGACCTTGTGACCTGCAGCTTGCGGGGACAAGGCAAGGGATTGATCCGTGAACTGGGACGTGTGCGTGAACTCTTAAGAGAGTCGCTTTGGCCACTTCTTGATTGTATTTCTGGCAGATTGGGACATCCATGTTCCGTCCACATTATATACACGTACGCTGCATGTGTTTGTTTGTTAGCTTCGGGCTCCAATTTGAACCTTGGTTGACTTGCTGTCGCTCACTCTTCGTTGACATGAGCAAGGAGCGTGAAGCCTGCGCTGACCTTTCAGGTGTGGCTTGCGAGTGGTTCCAGAGTGAGGCCATGTTGAACCAATGGTCGGCGACCCTGAATGTGCTGTCGGCGACCCGGCCGCCGAAGAGTCTAGTTGATCACTTGTCGTTTTACCCCCGTTGTTTCGTTCGGTTTCCTTCTAAACCCCGTCTAAGGACGACCTAAAAATCGGGCAAGCAAGGCTTGGGAGGCTTTGGTCAAAACCCCAAAGGCAACTGCAGATCCCAGTTCATCCCATTAAAAGGAGGCATCGCCACGGCAAGACCTGAGGTCTTGACTGGTCCGTGGCCGTGCGCGGGGAAAGGGGAGGCAGCTGGGAAACATGAAGAACGCATGCACACCACTGGTTGTAAACACCTATCAAAGAACCCGAAAACCATCATGACCCCCCAAAAGGTCCAGATACCGTACGCCCCAAAAAAGATGGTCAGACTTGCATTCACAGATGGTCGGACTCGCAGTCCGCATCACCCTTTTTCCAGGCCCTGAGGGTGCAACTCACGCACTGCTCTTCATGCGTCTTTACCAAACAAAGAGCGGAATGCGTCGCAAGTTCCATCGAAGAATCTCCAGGTATGCTTTCCCAAACCTTGTATCCGGTTCCAGTACTGCTTGCTCATTCCACTCATTCCATGCAGTGATCACAAACAGGTTTGTGCCAATCTGGCGGCTCTGGAACGTGGCCATCTTTTGGAATGTCCTCTGCAAGCTGACATTGAAGACCTCAGGGGATCGCAGAATGGGTTTGGCCGTCGGGTCGCGCGGTCTCCGGTCAAAGCCTGTGAAAGCACCCCAGTATTGGACATGTGCTGCTCTTGTACGCAGCGGCAGATCGAAAGTGCTGCTCGCATCGCCTGCACCCCAAAGGTTCCAGGCTGCAAAGAGCTGTGGCCAAAAATGAAGACTTGCAGAAATCTCACTTTCATTTGCAATCACCTGCTGTCGGTCCACATTGTAGAAATTCCCGATGGTTTGTACCAAGTGCAAATCATGAAACCCTTCTTGCCTCGCCAACTGGCGCCAGAAAGCAAACATTCTTCCAGCAACGTGCTTCATATGACCAAGTCGGTATATGGCAAACACTGGGGCTCCATTGATTCGCAAGTATTTCGGATGCTTGAAGAAGGAAACCAAATACTGGAAATGCTGTCTCCACTCTTGCTCGTCACCATACGTCTGTGCGAGCAACACGTCCTCCAATCCTGTCCATCGACGTGTCCAAGGCTCATTGGCCCAGGAAAAAAAGAAAGGCAAATCTGGCTGCCCATCTCTCAACATCAGCTCTGGAATCTTTTGCATGACCAAGTGATTCTCAGGAGCTCCTTGTCCGGAAAACCAATAGTGGTAATACATGAAACCGGACACGTCATGGTCTCGAGCCATCTGAGCTTGCTGCCTTCGGATCTCGTAATTTGTTAAATCGTAGTAGCCTAAACCTCCATCTGCGATGCCCAGTGGCTGTCTGAATGGAACGGTAGGACTGCTTGTGTTCCCAGGGTCAAGATCTTTCAGCAAAGTCCATTCTGTGAAGTTTTCTCCCCAAAAGCGGTCATTTTCAGGAAACTTGTGGAATTGAGGAAAATAAATTGCAAATACAATTGGCGCAGGCTGCACGTCTTTTACAATGCCCCCTTCACTCTTGATAAGAGAAGGCAGCCAACTGTTCAGGTGCGCATGCGGAAAATCAATCTCCTTGTCCAAAGACAGAAGCACTTGCAAACCCAAAAAATTGATCCAAAATGAATCCGCTGCCACCAACAAATCTTCTTTCTTGACCTTCCCGGTTGACTGGAGTCGTGCCCCGAGTGTCGACATATTGATGTTCGAAATGTTGTGGGCAATGTGCGGAAACACCTGCAGGGTCACTCCATGTCAAGACTGCTTACCTACTAGCAAGGGCCTCCAAGGTAGAAGCGATGGCCTCGAACCTGCTACTACGATCACGTAGAAGCGAGGGCCCCCAACCTGCTAGCGATGGCCTCCAACCTACTAGCAATTGCCTCCAACCTACTACGATAACGTAGAAGCGAGGGCCTCCAAGCTACTAGCGATGGCCTCCAACGTAGAAGCAAGGGGCCATTTCCAGATCAGAAAAGGATTCCGCAAAATAAGGTGTTCATTCCGCATGCCATGTGCATCTTCTTCGTGAATTCATTCGCCCTGCCTGACTCGTTGCCTCGAAAGCAAACACCATTCCCATCGGTGCGACCAGCTCTGGTTTTGGGTCGCTCATCGAAGCCAGAATGGATTCCACATGGCTGCGCGAACCACATAACGCTTGCAGAACCCGTTCTTGCCAAATCATGTCGTCGCTGACATTGATATTCAAGACTTTATGGTATTTGTGGCCCCTCTGGTGCAGCTGGCGAAGAAAACTTTGTCCATCATCCAGGTGCCAATCGGCCAACGCTTCACCGAACGCTGCACCGAACGCCTCGCTTCGAGGTCCGAAGATGTGAAGGTCAGCAGGAGCCACGTCCCGGACATTGGAGACACAGGTCAACAGGTCTGAGAGGTCGGGGGACGCGGTGGAAAGACCTCCGAAGTGTAGAAACACGGCCAGGGAGCTGCGAGGAGAAGCGTCCGACCTGGCGGACCTGATATTCCACGTACTTCGCTGCCAAAAGGCTGGCACCAAAAACGAAAGGCATATGATCACCAAAACCGACAGGCATTGGATCCTGCGAAAAGACAACATCGGAGTCACTGCGCCGTGACTGTTTGGCGTCGTGATTTTCGTGCGTTTCAGGACCAACAACCTTGAAGCCAGTTTGTTTTACTATGCAATTCTTACTGAAGCCATGGCAGTTCTTCTGGCAAAATGTGTTGGCAAAACGTGGCACATGTCTTTTGCCGTTTCCAAGTTGAGGTGTTCGTCCTTTCATCGTCGGGCTGCCTGACCTTCCTCTGAGCCTTCAACTGCGGAGACCAAAAAGGAATCTCTGGACGGCTAAAGGGAAACAAGAAAAACACATCGCCAGGGTCTTCTGGAATGAGGTGTTGTGACAAGATATGGGAAGGAAGTGTCCCCACTAGTGTGTTAAGCATGTATCATGGCCAGGTTCCCGCGTCTGCAGCTGCCCGCCTATTTATCAGTGCCTTTGTATATGCGCAAAGGCAACCCTTAGCAAACGATGAAAGAATGGCGCGCACTGAATTACTCTACAAATTTTGGTCCACCATTGTTGCCACTGGCTCAAAAGACTGTGCCAAAACGCGTTTCCCAACATTCTCAGCACTTTCCCAAACGATGTGACAAGCTGGGTCTCCATGCTGGTTGTTATGTTGTAGTTGTTACGGCGGCAGAACAAAAACTACAGCCGGGTGTGTCCCGTCAAGGTGATGAATAGCACGTACTTCTTCGAGTGAAGGCAGAGCAGGTGAACCTCTCGTCACTTCCCCACGAAACGAAAGCCCTCTTCACTGGCAAGCATTATGACCACGAACCTTCGGTAGAGGTAATCTAGGGGTGTTCACAACCAGTATCACTTGCGGTTGACCAATTGCTTTCTCGCGAAGCTTTCCTTAGGATCTTTTCCCTATGCCTGCTTTAAGCAAGGCTATTTCAACTGGCAAGTCAAACTAGATTAATTTCCAACTGGCGAGGAGCTATTGTCCACTTGGCTAGTGTTCTCAAGCACTGATGCAGTCAAATGGGTCTCATTATCCTCAAGCGCTGCAGGCCTGGTTGAATTCTTCACGTTTGCGGTGTTGATCGAAAGCTCAGTAGCAACTGTGAACGTTGTAGCAACCAATGTAGGCATGACTCTTTCTAGGCCAAGTGCTGTATTGCACCCAAAGTCATTGCAGCCACTTTTATACGGTCCCATCACGTCCAAGAGTGTCGGGGCGTAGTTCAGAAGTTTCTCTTCCCAGATCTTCAAGCCTGCTCTGACCCAGTAGAAGGATCCGGCCACAATTGTCCAAGTGTCTTGAGGTGGAAGACCAGCTGGACTGATTAATGACCAAGCGGTTCTCATTTGAACAGTCGCCACTTCAGAGAAAGCATGAATCCCAAGGCCAAACACTCCAAGGCCTTTGCGCCCAACCTTTGTCCAAGTAAAACTACTAGGACCAATCATGCCGATGGTCGGGTCGCTGAACTTCTCGATGATCTTCCTCACAAGTTGGGTGCTTCCGCAAACCTCTCGAACCATCCTTTCCCTCCAAGGTTTGTCTCGCTTGGTGTGCAGTTTCAAGATGAGATCATGGTCGAAGGAAAGTTCTTTTGCAAGAAGAAGTTGGTGCAGAAACAGTCCAATGTCTGCACCTTTATTGTCCGCCCTTGAGGTCACAACAAAGCGAAGTGCTGGCAAGGATTCCTTGACAATTCTTTTGACCATATAAAATAACTGCTCAAGAGGCTGAGTGGTGATCAGAAAAATATCCACAGTGCCATTTCCAGCCACGGTCAACGTGTTGAAAATACATTGTCGCAACTGGTGAAATCGGCTTGGGTCATGCATCTGGATGAAAATGCCAATTCGAGGCCCATCAGCAAGCCAATTCGCTAACTTTGGGGCTTTGAAAATGTCCAGCAAATGCGACATTCGGGTCTGAACCACTGGACCGGCGAACCTCGCCTCTACCGCGACCCGACCTCTCTTTCCAATAGCCGACAAGTCCTTTGCGCTCAATCGGAGGATGGTTTCCAAAGAAGTTTCAAGAGCACCTTCTGTCAAGTCGGGCAAGGCAAAGCTCCCATCAAGTGAGTTCCTCAAGGTTTGGTCCAAAAAAAGGGCCCACGAACGCAAATGCAAATGTTTTTTGAATACTCCAGCCATTCTTGTAGCACACTCCTGCGGGGCACTACTTTTTGACATTGTTCAAAAACTGCGTCTGATTTTGATCAGCCCAGCGTGAAGTGTAGGTTGACTATCCTGTTCCCTTGTAGATGGCGGCAGCGCGCTTCCCTTTTCCACTGTATCTACGGGAGTCTTGAGCCAAATATTGGCATATCACGCTGTACTGTTCTATACTAGTATATATACTATGCTTGTCGCTCCACTGCTATTGACACCCCCCATGTGCCCAAAGCTTTCAGCATTGGTCACACCTATTGAAAAGTCAAGGGTAATGTACTGTACAGCAGGTTGCTATGGTTGCCGCGAGATCCATAAAGAAAATGGTATCATACTACACATCCCTGCTAAAACTAAGCGGACTTTTACATACAAAGCGTGGAATCCAACCTATTGGAAATACAAGTTAATTGTGAAGAACGACAGCTGGAGAAGCCACTCTCAGAATCTCTCTCAGTAGATCTTCGTCATGAGATAGACCGAGCTCATGTGACTCTCTTAACTGTAAGACGTTCACTTGCAGATACTCTTACGACCATTCAAGGATCAAACGTAGTACGCTGACCCTGTTTCTTGCGTCCGGTATCTTCTCCCTAGTTTTGGTCATATTCTTCCCAATTGTCATTGTTCTGATCTACGTTGCTCCAATCTTGGTCATCCCACTTGCCCCAGTCTCGATGACCTTCTCTAATGCGAGGGTTGTTCCATTCGTCATCTCGGAACGTTGTTCCATAGGCACGCCAGCTGCGATTGTTCCGTTCAATCCTTCGCCAAGTGGCACCTTGACCTTTGGAGCTCTTTCCACCATCTCTTCCTTTGGAACCGTATGCCTTGCCACCTTCTTTTCCTCTTCCCTTTTGATATGGTTGTTGTCGTTCTCTTGCTCTGCTCTGGTGACTTGACGATGGTTCTTCTTCTTCTGTTCTTCTGCTTGAGGCTGTCTATGTTCGGGTGAAAAGGGTGGATAGGCTGTTCGTCTCCTGCCAGGTATCACATTTGCTGTCAAAAGCCCTGATATCTTTGTGTTTCGTCCTCTCCAACAAAATGCCTTGCGCCAAAGGTGGCAACGTGACCTTACAAGAAGAATTACCCGGCCCCACTTGTCTTTGGGTCTCGAGTGCACAATGTCCAAGGGACTCGGGCACCTGTGTGCGTCAGTATCACCAAGGTCGTCTGTGAAATACGAATATGATGACGCATGATATATCGCACTCACGCACTTCCTGACCATCACTGACACTGACATTGCAGCATGCGTGGCTTTTCTGCTATCTTCAACTATTGCCCGGGCAGTACCCGGCTTTGAAAGATGCAGGTGTGTATCCAAACGCAATAGCTTGTAGCGCGAATCTTCCCATAGTCCCTTTTCCTCGAAACATACGCCAGGTTCTTCGAGTCTGCAAAAGCTTGCATTTGCTCCGCTGTTGGATCCAAAGGCATATCGTCTTGATCAAATCCATTGAACACTCCTTTGGTGAAAACTGACATGACGTCACGTCTCTTCCTCATGAAGTGTTGCTTGAAATCTGCGATGCCCGTTAGATGATAGGACTTGTACATAGGAGCAATCAATTGCGACACGCAGCGAACAACATATCTGTCCATGAGACCTGATGAACCTGTTTCCGTGTCTTGGCAACCGGCTTCGTCTTGTAGATGGAATGGGACTGACTCAGGGTATCTGCACCATTTTGGAAGTTCATGGTCGGCAAGATTTGCTTCTCGGTCTAACGATCTTGGCCCGTTGCCCTCATAATCTCCTTCGTTAGTTCTGCTTTCTTTTGATTTCTCTCCCTGACCTTCCATCTCGACTTCTTCAATCACCTTGTCAGACGACTTTGGGAATTCGGCAGTGCTTCTGAAAACCGCATCGACGTCATCGATCACCTCTTCGATCTCAGGCGCTAGGGCCGCTAGGGATTCTCTGTCCTAGTCTACCTCATCTTCAGCAAAAGTAGGGGTGTAGACATCGTCTTTGCTTTGATCCCTTTGCGCTGCTGAGTTCGCCATGATCTCCTCGAGGAATTGCAAGCTAACCTCCTCATCCTCATCGGCACTGACAATCTGAGACTGAAGTACAGTCTTGATTTCTTCCATCTTTCCTTCATCAATGATGTCCTGCGCTTCTTCTTCGGCGTTCTTGAGTTGCTCGGTGTCATCGTCGACCGCGATCACTGGTTCTTCATTGTCTATCTATGGTGGTCGTCCTGGAGACGGTGTTCTTGATTCCACAACGTGTTTGGTGTCACATTCATGCATGCGGGACAGAGGACGTTGCCATCAGCGTTGCTGAAACCTTCACAAGTTCGGGCGATGATATCATTCCAAGGTTCCTTCTTTGTCTTCCTTGTGTCTCCATCATTGATGATCTCATCTAGCTTGCGAATGTTGTCATCACGCCTCATGCTCCCTGCAATAGCTTCTTTCGCTCTCTCCATGATTTGCTCTTTGGTTGCAATCTTGGTCGGAAAGCTTGCTGCCGTGATCAGGCGGTTAGTAACCTCTTTCGTCAACAACCTTCTCCATTCGCCAATTGGGTCTCTGTACCATCGCGTTGTCCCACGAAACTAACTTCTTTGAACATGACGACGTAAGAACTCTCTGCAAGTCGGGCTCCGAGGTTCTTCAACAAATTACATACAAAGCGACCGGGGCATCATCCGTCGGGATCTTTGATCTCAACACTGTGTTCACGCGTTGATCCCACGGAGCGAAGTGATTGAAGAAAGAACTTCCCCTAGTCCCTTCCACACCACCAGGTAGAATGCCAAGCTTCACGATAGATGATATCCTCCGAGGGATGTCACACGAAAGCTTCCTCCAAGTTGGATGGGAAGGGGGTCTGTGTGATGTAAGGTGCGGGTCAAGGGTGACATCGTCCTCATTCCTGACGGATTGGCGCGAGTTGAGGTTGCGTGATGACACTGCCCTCATAGCTACTGGAAATAGCCATCTGTCGTGCTCCTTGTAGTACCTTAGATCATTCGGCACCTCCTATATAGTCCTCCTCCCATTACATTCTCTGGTCCTCCACTTGTGACATCATTCACAGAAATGCGGACAGCGGCAATTTGGAATCTGACACGGTTCTGAAGCTTCTTCGAATACCACATTGCCTGGCAACCTCAGCGGTACCCCGTCGTCAACGTCAACACTTCATTCATATGCCCTTGTTGTTCTGCATCTCTAATAATGCGATTGCTGTTGTCGTTGAAGATATGGCCATACATGAGTACATCATTGATGCTCACCAATCCTCCTTCATTGCATCGAAGAATTTCATGATGTCTTCCAGTGGAACCTACCATGCTTGCTTTCCGCGTCTGATGTCTCAGGACTGAGCTTTCTGCTGACGCCGTCGATGGTAGCATATTCACTCGTGTCCTTGTCGATGAAATGATGTTCTAGGTATCCATCTCAATGTTGCCTCTGTCACAGTCTAGCCAAATCTGCTGGTATGCATGTTTGTGTTCCTGAAGTGGATCATTTCTCAGTTCCGTCACCTTCGGTAGCTTGGCGCCTGCCGATTGGGCTCTGGTCACAATTGCTTCAAGCGCTCTCTTGCCAGGTGGTCCGGACATGTCCACTCTTCTGTTGATGAGCTTGAAAGCGCCTCCTTCCAGTTCATCTGCAATTGTACTAAGGTTTATTGGTGAGTTGAACCTTGCGACGATTGTGGCATTGCCAAATGAACGTTTCATGGATTCGACCGCTTTCTCATACTCTTCATTGCTGGTTGGTGATTTTGACTTAGATTGCTTTGCAGCTGGAGGTGTCAGTGACCCTCCACCGAGTTGAGCTGTTTCTTCCGGCAGTTTGACATCCTCCATCTCTACATCCTCGTCATCATCATCATCATCATCATCATCTTTTGTTGTCTTTGCTCTTTTCTTCTCCCTCTCTGCCTGGCTTCTTTCCCTTGATGACCTCCTCGTCGTGCTCGGTGAAGTTGACTCGCAGGATTCCTTCCATGTGTTTGAAGCTTTCAACGATGCTCTCCAATTGCTTGGTGAAGTTCTGAAGTTCTCGTTGTTGCACTTTTCCAGCGAGTGTTCATCTGAGCCAAAACATAGACAGATCTTCTTCTCCTGAGCTCTCTTCTTTACCCTTCGGATATTGTCATAGGTCTGCTTCCATGGCTCCTTCTCTTTGGCCGAGAAGGGTCCTGAATATGGCGGGTTTGTCCAAGTTGCCTGCCTTGTAGTCCATAGGATCTACTTCGGGGGACATGGGTTGCGCGGGCAAGTGTCCAGGTTCTGCTGAAGTAGGCTGTTCCTCCTCCTTCATGCGCACATCGTCCCCATGTTCTGTTTCCCCGTCTGGCGGCGGTGCCTCTATGGGCTTCATCCCGCTGAAGCATTTCTGGGTTTGGGTATGTTCTCATCATCCTCTCTATCTCACTTCTTTCTTCTGGTGATGGGTAACTGCACGGAGATTTGTTTCTCTTCGTATTGTCGTTGATATTCCTCCGGCTTCCTGCATAGAAAGAGAGAAAGGATAGTTCAATGCCTCGTCGGCGTTCATCAAATAATACCTTTCCAATCTTTGAACAGGTTGCGTTGAAAGATGCTTGCCAATTCGAAGACTCCCAACCAGAAGTCAACGATGTCTCCTGCGGGTTCCGAGTTGGTCACCACATCCTTGTTGTTGAGCATGAAGACGGCTTGATATTCCTCTGGGGTGAGGAGATATTGCACGTAGTCATCGTACGCTACATTGCCATAGTCCATGTAGGCTCTGAAACCGTACTCTCCCGTACAATCAACAGTGCTCCTCGATCTTCTTTGCAAAAGGCACTCACAATCAACCGGCGCTCTGACGCCTTGATGATGAGATGTATTCTTGAGCGTTCCATGGACCCAAGGTACAGGTCTCTTAGCCAGTAACAATGCTCCCTCGATCATGAACTTTCTC